TATGTCCCAAATATGTGTTCCCACTCAGAATTGAGAGGCAGGAAGAACCTGATGCTGTTCCCAGCCTTCGTGAACTCTAAAAATTCCACAGCTAAAATTACAGCTAACATCCATCTGAGACCCTGCCTTTGTCATAGTAGAAGCAAAGCATCAGGGAAAGATAACTGCCCCCTGCTTAATAACACAGTGCTGTGGGAAACAGCAGCAGGTAGTCTATGGCATTTGGTCAAGATCTACTTGTATCGTATGACTGATTTGCAATTTAGATAATTAGGAATTGACTCATAAGCAGAATAGATACTGATTATTCTAAAGGAGTTGGGGTAGGGCAAGTTGGAACCTAGGGCAGCTGATCCCAAGCTACATGGCACCTCCCATCACTTTATCCCTGCATGGCGATGCCTGTGGTGAGGAGAGTGAGGCAGGCCTTAGCAAGCTCACCTTCACAACCTGTGTCTAATGGGCAGGACTTGGAGTGCACATGCAATTCCTGCCGATGAGTTTCTCTGCACTATTTTTGAACATCAATTAATAAGAAAACCAAGGCTCTTCTGCCAGGATGACCTCTCTGGAAGACCCTGCAGCTGGAGAGAGATGAGATGGTGGGAGCATCCTATTAATAACCAACATCTGAATAAAGTGCAAATTGCTTTACACTTGTGTGGGATTAGCCTCCAAGCTTCCATCTGCTGAGAATCTGACTGCAGCTTGAACTAACCGCACTCCAACACCTTCCTGCTCTTGCTCATGGTGGGCTTTGCCTGCTTTTTAGCAGTAGGGAACATAAGGCAGTTGATATAAGAGAGAAAAACAGAATTGTCTTTTATTATAGAAACTTCTTTTGTCCTCTTAGCCCGGAACATCCAGATTTCTCCTGAGCCATTCAACAGGGGGGGCCCTAGCTAAGTAGAAAGAACTTGAGGGGCAAAATATTATAGGAGAAGGAAGAGAATGTTTGCAGATGGGGAGATGTTATGCTGGACACTTAACAGTCATACTGAAAAGAATCTTCAGGATCCATTACCCAGCTGAATGTATTGAAGATTATCTTTCTCTATTAAGGAGCATTTGGACTATTGAGTTTCAGAATGCCCTTGTTTGAAATATTTATGGTGAGATGTTAGCTGAATAGATACGTCTTCTTTAGGAGAGGTGCTATGTCTTGGAAAGAGCTTTTAGGGAAATCCCTATAGTGAGGTGAGCAGCAGTCAAGATGGCAGCTTCCAACAATATAGGAATGTGTTTGTATACATAATCTAGTACTCAGAGTAGGTTGTACAACATCCCTGGTTCCTGGTCTTCATCCATTTTGGAACTGGACCATTAGTTGTTGGTAAATAATATTACTGGTTCTAAACTTTACTTACTGAGATCACCTGGTTAGATTTTTAAACTGTTGATGTCTGTGTTTCACCACCCCCAAAGATTCTTAAGTCAATTGACCTTGAGATCCCCATATTGAAATCAGCTAGGACTCTCCATAATAATTAGTTTTGTGTGTGTGTGTGTGTGTGTGTGCGTGTGTGTGTGAGAGAGATACAGGAGTTCATTAGTCTTCAGGAGATAGAGCTCATACAGGCTAGAATAGTACTGTCCACATGTGGCTGCTTTGCTGCTATTCCATTTGGATCTTGCAGAACACCATGGAATGTTCTGTTGGGCAGCACTAATACAGTGGCAGGACTCCCACGCTTAAGTGGATTTGGACTCAAGGCAATGAGGCATGGAGCAGAAATCAAAAGACTCAGTCTCATAAACTGAGCACTCACTTTGGGGAAAGGGAGCAGCTGTGGAGGATGTGAGGAAGTCAGTACTTAAAGATATATTTGAGCTTCATGCCATCTCAGACAGGATTAGCTCAAGTTTGTATGCATGAAGCCAGCTACCAGAAAGGGATGAAAAGGCTATCAAAGGATGAGAAGAACTAGGAGCCATCACTGGTACTGGGGACCTTATCATCAACAGGTAATGCTCAGTTCATGAACCTCTGAACCACACCCCTGGCAAGGTGGACCAATTCTGCTATCTGCTTTGCACAGCACAAGCCCTGGGTGATGTCTAGTGATGAAAGGAATTTCTAGCTCCAGCTTCCAGCAGGTGGATCCCATGGCTCCACAAACAGAACCAGGATTCCTGTAATTGAGAACCAGGTCAAGCACACTGCAGGAGGAGAAAGGGAGGATTCAATGAATTGATAGTGGGAGAAAGTCACTTAGAACCCTTGTTCACTTCAATCTAGAGCAGTTGAAGGTTTTACTGCTTGGTGTTCACCCACCAGTGACCTTTTTTGGAGATAAATCCACAGGAGGTGCCTGAATAGGTGTTTCTTGGGAGAGGTAGAATGGTACATTAGTTTATTAAGGCTGGTGTAACTAAAAACCACCAAATATGTGTTGTAAGCAATAGAAATTTGTTCTCTCATAGTTGTAAAGAGTAAAAATCTGAGATCCAAGTGTCAGTAGGGCCACAAGCAGCTGAAATCCTAAAACTGAGTGATGTTATTTCTGATGGAGTAGTGATTTGTTTTATTATCTAAATTTTACGTGGTTTAAAGCATCCTCTTGAAAGTTACATGGTTTGAAAAATTGCCTATAATAAATCCTTTTATTTTTGAACATGGAAACTGTTCTCCATCCTTTTATTCAGAGAAAATTAGTTTCTCTCTATCCTCCCTAAATAAATATGGAGGAAATATTTAAAGAAATCAGTTTTTATAAACCTGCCCAGGACCCTGGTGCATTTCTCTGGCCTATGAAGTCATTTATCGGCAGGAGCTGTTACCCTGGGCATAAGGCCCTGAACAGCTCCAGGACACCTCAGCACTGAATGACTGACATCCATTTCTGGCTTCTGCCTTCATCTCCTCCCTACTGCTAACATTGATTTTTTCAGCCCTTATCTCTCACACACTTTTTTTTTAATTAGGATATATTCTTTATATAGGGGGGATTCTTGGTGACAATTTTGATTAGACTTATATTATACATTAGTTTTATCACCCCCATTATCTCTTCCCCTCAACCCCATCCCCACCTCACTTACAGCAATTGCAAGAGGTTTCTTTGTTCTATTTCATGTAAATACATGAGGTCCATCAACCATATTCCCTCATCTTAATCGCCTTCATTCACCCTCCCCCTCCCACAAGTAACCCCCCATACACACTGTACCTATTTCACAGTCCTATCTTTTTTATTAATATTTAGGTTGATGTTCAAAGGGGTATCTCAGTGTATGCCCACTATGGATATACTTTACTTTGGTCCATTTAACCCCTTCCATTACTCTTCCTTACCTCTTTATTTCCCACCCCCCATTTTTCAACAGCTTCCAATACAGGTCCTTATATCCTCTGCCTTCACAGATGTTATGTTTTATGATATTATTGATGCTCTGTCATTCTCTCTTCCTTTCCCTCTTTCCCAAAGATCCATAGAGTAGTTCCACTGTTACAACCATGTTCTACATATGATTTTCTATATGATCATGTTGTATAAATGTTTATCTTTTGGATCTATCTTCTACATATGAGAGAAAACGTGTGGCCTTTGTCTTTCTGAGCCTGGCTTACTTCACTTAACAGGACATAAGTGAAGTAACAACCTTGTCACAGTTCCAGCCCTTGTGAGTCCTAGAGAGTAAGTAGATGACTATTGTGTGCATGGTCTTACACTGTCTATTGGTGGCACGTTGACATTGCCCCAGACACAATCCAGTTTCTATGAGCAGTGTTCAGGGCCCCAATTTTATATTTGACATGCCCAGTAGACAAACCAGATCTCCAGAGACACAACTATAGCCCTGCTCATGGACTGTCTCCAATAGTGACACATTTTGTTTGCTGTCTGTTTTGTGAGTTACTTTGAGCAGCAGAGTTCATAAGGAGAAGCTTCATGTTTGCATGGCTGTATATCACAGAGGTTAAGCACACAGGCACTAGAGCTTAACTTCCTAGGTTCAAATCCATGTGTGCTACTAGCAAGCTGTGTAAAATTGGAAAAGGTATTGGATCTCCCTATTTCCTAGTAAGACAGGTTCATAATGGCACCTACCTGATAGTGTGATCATAAAGATAAAAGATGAGTGCTTGTCAAAAGATTTGAGCAGCCACTTCACTGAAGAGGATTTTGAGATGGCACATACACATATGGAAAGGTTCTCAACACTGTTAGCTTTAGGAAAATTCAAATTAAGACCACAATAATGCTTTTTAGCTCTTGAAAAGTTAAACACATACCTATTTCACGTCTAGGATTTATCCAAGAGAAGAGGGAATATATGTCCATGTCCAGGCTTGTACTTGAAGATACTTGTCAGTTCCATGTGTAATAGCCCCAAACTGGAAACACCCCACATATCCACCAGTGGAATACTATTCAGCAGTCAAAAAGATAAACCATTAACATGATAGCAGATAAATCTCAAAATATGAATGCCAAATGAAAGAAAAGACAAAAAAAAGGTCACATACTATATACCATTTATGTAGTATTTCCAGGGATACATGAATCTATATGGACAGAAAGAAGATAGTTTCTTGAAAATGAGGGGAGATGGTTGACAAGAAAGGGTTGTAATGGGGAATAAGGACACTTTGGGGGTGTGCATGTGTTAGTGTCTTGACTGTAGTGATGGCTTTGCAAGTACAATAAGCCCACCTTATTCATGGAGTTGTTATGTGTGATTTTGACCAAATACAATCAAATAATAATAAGAAAGAAAAATGTAAAGAAATGTAAAAAAATTTTAAGCTGTGCACGTTACACAGTTGATGCTGAAAAGCCCTCAGTCAGTCCTGCGTTTTTATTGGTTGTTGAAATCATTGTGTGATCATCTGAGTGTTTCCCTGCCCTTATTTTTGTGACCATATGCCTCCCCAAAAGCCAACAGAACCCAAAAGCAAGGTAAATGTTACAGTAATACTCCCAGGCTGCCACAAAAGGTACACATGTGCTTACTTTAAGTGACAAGTGAAAATTTGAGATTTGTTGAAAGGCGGTATGCCTTTAGTGGGAGTTGGGCGGCGTTACGGGGAAAATGAATTGAGCATCTACAGTACAGTACTGAGCTCAGTGTATCCTGAGCACGTGTGATTTTCCTTCAATGGCGGCCTCCTTGCAACCATAGCCCCACCAGTACCAAGACCCTACTGCATATACACCTTTCAAAACACAACGAATTGCACACGTTAAAAGATGTGGTTTACTAGATTCACTTATACTGCAATAATGCTGGTTTTTAACTGATGCTTATGACAGAGCTGGCTTCTGAAAGCACTAGCCAGTATAAAACTTAGTATAGCTATTGCCACACCAAGAAATATTTTAGATGAAATCTTTAAAAGAGCATCTCACCAAAAACAATATTCAATGATTGAATCTGTCACCACCAGACCACAACCTGGCTAAGTTCTGCCTTTCTTCTTAGGGAGGTCTATGAATAAACATGAGCTAAGGGAAGCAGCACAGACTGTGAGGTCAGAAGGCTGAGTTCAAGTACCCACCTAGTACCTTGTGCCATATGACCTTGAATGTCCTCATATGTAAAAGAGTATGTACAAAGGCTGTATCATGTGATTGGTATAAGAATCAAATTTTTAAAGTGGATATGAACATGCTGTGTAAACTGTAAAGCAAGGTGAGCATATGACTAGGAAAGACGGAGATAAGTATTCATAGATTTATAGAGTGGATAGCAGAGAGCCAGCAAGATTGAAATAAACTTAAAAAACATGGGATCTAAGGACAGATCCTACATCTCCTTACCTCCCCTAGACCATTATTTCCCCATAAGTGTTGCCTAGGACACATTTTTTTTTCTTTGCAGTATTGGGGGTGGAACTCAAGGCCTTATGCTGACTAGGCCTGTGCTCTCCCACTGAAGTCACACCACCAGCCCTTTTTGCATTGATCATTTTTGAGATAGGGTCATGCTTTATGGCCAGGATGGCCTGAGCTTCAGTCCTCCTATTTATGTTTCTTTGCATAACTGGAACGACAGGCAAATGCTTACGTGCCCAGCCTTTGGTTGTGATGAGGTCTCATGAAAGTTTTGCCCAGGCTGGCTTAGAACAACTAACCCCTCAATCTCCTCCTCCCAAGTAGCTAGGATTTCAAGCTTGAACCACCACATTAAATGGCAGGTTTCTGGTTCCAGTCCTCTACTTGTTGGTCAAAATCACCAAAGGTAGGAACAGGACTCTGAATTTTAAAGAAAGCTCCCCCAGATGACTCTGACATATCTGGTAGCACCAGTAAAAGAGGATGAGTTTTTTGGAAGCAGCCACCTTGACCTTGCCACCTCTCAATGGGAAACAGGAACTGTCAGAGCCTCTGTTTCAGGTGAAACCAGAAAAGATAATGCATCTGTCGTAATGACTGGGAATGCAGAGCATTCTAGAACATATTTTACTTTTAACATGCATTTAGCATGACAAACAGTTTCCTTATCATCCACTCTTGGGGTTCTCATTGGCCCAAGAGTATACTTGGAAATTATCTATTTTGTATGTCAAATGTGTATTGCTTAATTTCTTTCCATCTTGTCATTTCCTCAAAAATAAGCCGGTCATGGTGGTTCTTGCCTATAATCCCAACTACTCTAGAGGCAAAGATCTGGAGGACTGCAATTCAAGGCCAGCCTGGGCAAAAAGTTTGGGAGACACCCATCTCAACCAACAAGCCAGCTGTAGTGATTCACTGCTATTATTCCAGCCACAATGGAGGCATGGGCAGGAGGATCATAGTCTGAGGATAGCCCTGGGGAAAAAAAGTGAGACTATTGGAAAAGTAAACTGAAGGAGAAAAGGGCTAGGGGTGTGGCTCAAGTGGTAGAGCACCTGCCTATCAAGCACAAGTCCTGAGTTCAAACCCCAGTACCGCACAAAAGGAAACAAGAAATACCAATTAGTCAGTGTTACATATTCTGGAAGCTCACCTTGATAGCATGTCTGAGGAATGTGGCTTAATGCCAACATGAACTTTGTTTCTACATGGGAATTACATCTGAAAGTCAAGAAGTAACACATTTGTGTCATTTGGAATTGTTAAAACAGAGAAACAAAGTTGAGAGTTCCCATCTCCTATCTCTTATCATCTGAAGCTACTTAGAGTTCTCTTCTTCCAACAACAAGAAGATTTTTTTTTCTGTGTCCTAAGAATATAAAATTTATTTCTTGGGGATAATTTTGAAATCCTCTATCCAAAGTCACCACATGAGTACAATTAAATCTCTGATTATATGACTCATTATCCCATACAATTGGACCAAACATTGAAAACATGCTTTTAGGTACCAGGCAGGCACATTGAGGAAAATGAGGGGATATATATCAGCTAAAATAGAAGCTAGGTCTTCATGGGAAGCTAGAGTAGTCAAATAACCATTGTTTTAAAGAATAATTTGTAAAATCCCAACCAACGGTGGACTGAAGATTGGTTTTCTGTCTGCTTATCTGATGGATAGAGACATAACAAGAACTTTATTGTCCTTCTTGTGATCTGGATTGTCCATTTCCCCCAAGTAAATTGTCCTTTAAAAGACATTCTCTCACACAGGGCCGTATAAAGGAATGGAAGGGTCAAGCATTGCATCTAAGAGGGATGCCAGGGGAAGCTAGAGTAAGGATCAGACTTTCATTGTGGGTCAAAGAAGTGGGAAGTTGAGGACTGCCTTCCCTTTATTTATATGAAAGTAAAAGAAATGTCTTTATAGTGTGTGCTAAGAAATGATACTTGGGAAGTATACGATAAACTGTGCTTCTTTGTGAAAGCCATCAGGAATATATAGGTTCCAGCTGATGTGTAAACCATGAAGGATAAGTATCTCCTATCCTTGATGTTGAAAGGTGCTGTGGGATCTGGAATTCATAATCACTGGCTCCCAAAGGCTTCAAAGAATATAAATGGTTCTGCGTACTTTTACTTGTGACCAATGCAGAAGAAAAAAACGTAGTGACAAGGACCCCAGTAGAAAACAATTGACATCACCTGAGGGTTAAAGGTCAACTCTTTAACCCGAAGGGTTAAGGTAGTCACAGGAGGAAGGTGAGGCACCTGAGACATCATGGGTAGCAACAGCAAGAAGCCATCACTTATCCCTCAATCAAGAGAGTGGAGAGAGGGCCTGGGTTACCAAAGCCCAGCAAAATCCATCTGGATGGAAGAGTCTATACCAGAATTCGTATGCAGGGCTGCACCTCTCTGCTCTCACACATCCTCATTTTCTGCCAAGGCCTCCCTCTGACTGACTCCACTCAGAACCCAGAGGGTAAGAAAGCCCAAGAAATTCCATCCTGGGTTACCAAATAGGACAGAAAGTGGCAGATATGAATCTGGGAGAGGGGAACAAATGGGGAATTACTATCAGAGAATGCAAAGGAATGTTAGAGCAAGAAGTGACTTTGCATCCGCTAGTCTTTCTTTTTTTGGACGGAGACTAGTTAATTTTATTTTAACCAGATATAACAAATAATTTTGTAATGAATAACTGGTTTTCCAAAGTGGTCTTAAAATAGGGGTCAACTGACATCCTCTTTTTTTGTTAGCATATACTAATTGAATAAAGGGGCTTTGTTGTGATATTTCCACGCATATATATAGTGTACTTCAAATTCACTCCCTCTAGTACCCCTTCATATTCACCCTTTGAAGCAATTTTAAAAAGAGTTTCATTATTTTATTTTCATACATGTGTATGACGTATGTCAATCATATTTACCCCTTTCATCCTCTCCTTTCACCTCCTGCTGTTCTCTCAAACAATCCTTCCACTTTACACTCATGTCATTCCTTTTTTGAGATCTAGATTCTGCATATGAGAGAGAACATGCAATGTTTGTCTTTCTCAGTCTGGCTTATTTCATTATGCTGGGAATCTTGAGTTAGGAAACTCCAAGTAGAGTAGAGTTGGGTAAAATGAGACACCTACCCTGCCACTTTTTCAGTACTGTGCCCATCAGACATCAATAATTGATTACAGATTGCTTTCCTCCTGAGCCCAAATGTGCCTCCAGACTCTCCTACACAAAGGCTCCAGGCTGTCCATCTTTCCCTAATACATATCCCCTAATAACATAGCATACTCCAAACCTTCCAATACAAAACTTCAGAATCTTCATTATGTCTTCTAAGATTTTTTACCTTGAAGCTTGGCTCATTTCCTAAAGGAAGCATTTCAAATTGCCAGCCCCGAAGTCTTTATAGAGGGCATTTATGGGACACACCACAAGATTAACTTGCTTCCAGGATACTAACAAAATGTCCTGTTCCTCATAGGTTTACTCTTTGTGCTTGCAGGTGGACAGGACAGAGGTGATTCGTACCTGCATAAACCCAGTGTACTCCAAACTCTTTACTGTGGACTTCTATTTTGAAGAGGTTCAGCGTCTGAGGTTCGAAGTTCATGATATTGGCAGCCACAATGGACTGAAGGAGGCTGACTTCCTCGGGGGCATGGAGTGCACTCTCGGCCAGGCGAGTCAAAAGACTTCCCTTCTTGTTTCTCCCTCCTTCGGGTTCTTCTTCCTCCCCTTTTGTTTCTTTCTCTCATCTAATCTCTCATATAATCTTTGCTTTCTTCTTCCTGTTGCTTTTCTTTAATGTGTACCATTTATACACCATTGACACTGTCATATCTATTATATATGGATGATCCTACAAATCTATGAAGTTTCTTTCTTTTTTTCTTTTTGCAAAATTAATCATCTCTTCTGAATGTCCTCATTGTGTCAGTCATGTATTGATCAACTCTTTGTTGGGTACTTTCCACATACCTGACTCCATGCTCTGCCCTTGTGTCCATTACAGCCTTATCCTTATCCGTTACAAATTTCCAACTCCCAACCCAACTGCAAGAACCCTCACTCAGAGAGCATTTCTCATTCAGTTATTCCAAGTCTCTGTTGCCAAAAATGGCCCAAGAGAGGAGCTAAATGAATACTTGGAAATGAATGAGTCTTTAACTTAATTCTAACAATAATGTGAAATAAATATATGTTTGTTTAATCAGTGAGAAATCAAATCTAGAGAGACTAAGTGAGATCCTGAAGACCCCACCTTCAGAAGTGGCAGAGCCAGGACCCTTGACAGACCTGCCTGACCCTGGACCCCATTGTTTTGCTTCTACAATCCTTTCCCTTCCATTCTCCTCTCTTGCTCTACCCAGAACCATTGTAAGTGTTGAAAGGGATCTAAAGGCAAAAACAGTCTTTGTGCCCAGAAAGTGGGCATTTGAGCTGAGGAGGAGGTGATAAATGCAATCCAATAGATTTTCATGACAGATATCCCGGGCTCTAACCTAGCATTGTGAGACTTCAGGGAAGAGAGATCTTTTCTGTGGGGAGAATCAAAGTAGGCATTATGGAACCAAACTTGAAAAAATATGGCCCAGGGATGAAAGAGGAAGAAGGAAGGAGGCTTTCCCAGTAAGAAAGCAATGTAAACAAATCCCAGAGGTCAAATGAATGTTTCCAAAGTATGAAACAGGAAGAGACCAGCATCACTGGATCAAAGTCAGATCCTGATCCATTGTGAAACCATGGATTAAATTTCAGGGACCCTTACTCAGGTCTCGCCCCTGGCTCTTTTACATTTTTATTTGTAGTTTTGTAATTTTTTCTCAAAGAGGGAATCTAAATTCTTTAAGCCTAAAACCCCACAAAACCCAGATTCACCCTCTGTGGAGGGAAGGGATTTGTGAAAGTGTGCTAGCGAAGAGATAGCCATGTACTCATGTGTGTGTTTGTTTATATTTAATCTTCTTTCATGCCACTTATCACTGAAGGAAATTTCTCCCATGGGAGTACCAAATGACAAAATAGACAAGGTCCTCATTCTCTCTTTTCCAGTATATACAGTGTTTGATTTAATAGGATTGTTTCTTTCTCTTTTTTGGCAGTACTGGAGTTTGAACTCAGGGCCTCCTGCTAGGCAGGAGACACTCTACTGCTTGAACCACTATACCAACTAGGATTGTTTCTTATTCCTTTAATGAAAGCCAAAAGCACAATGTAGAAATATAGCTAAGGGAGACAGAGAGAAACTGAAATCCTAGAATATTTTCCATTAATATAGTCTGTCTAGTGACTTTTGAAAAAGGTTGAAGGCAAATAATTCTAGGGTCTTGCTTTGTATAGTGTCTATGAGGTAGGATTTGAATGAATGAATCGTGGATGTAGGGTAGAATCCATTGTCTACCAAAACCCCTAAAAGATAATTAAAATTACCTTTATATATATAATTGAATCATGCCAAGATTCTCCCTCAGACAGTGGGCCTCCCTCCTTTGCATAAAAGTTATAAGCTATATTTTATTATAAGAAAAAAATGTAGATCTATATAGGAGTCATACAGATAAAAGGTCTTTTTTCATCTCAAGCTTTGAGTTATATATGCTCGCATATAAGTATATATATTTGGCAATACTAGAGTTTTAACTCAGGGCCTTGTCCTTGCTAGGCAAGGGCTCTCCCACTTGAGCTACATCCTCAGCCCTTTTTTGCTTTAGTTATTTTTCAGGTACAGTCTTCCATTTTTGCCTGGGGCTAGACTCACTCACACCAGGAACCTTCTGCCTGTGCCTCACGCACCTGCCACCATGTCTGGCTTGTTGGGTGAGATGGCGTCTCCCTAACATTTTTCTCAGACTGACCTTGAACTGTGATCCCCCAGATCTCCACTTTCTGAGTAGCTGGGATTACAGGTGTGAGTCCCCACATTCCCCAACTGAAAGCTTTGATAACTTTGTCTATGAAAATGACCCTAAACTCATATCTTTAGTCCCCTCACAAGCCTCATCCATCCAAAAGCTAGTAAGTCTTTGACCCTTATTTTGTGCCAGCCATTATGGTAAATTGCCAGCAATACGGTGGTGAGTCTCAGTCCTCAAGTACCTCACAGTCTAAATGGATTAGAAATGAAAAGCAAATAGTTACACAATTAATTATATTACAACCATTATAAGCAGATTAAGCAGAAGTACAAAATAAGAGGGCTGGCAGAGTAGCTCAAACAATAGGACCACCTGCCTAGCAAGCGTACAGACCTGAGTTCAAACTCCAGTGCTAACAAAAAAATAAATAATTAAAAAATTTTTTTTAAAAAAGCACAAAATAAGAGAATGAGCTTTGGCTATCTGTCATCAGGTGTGTTGGTGGGGAGGTGGGAGGTCAATGAAGGCTTCCCAAGGAAAATGACATTTACACTGAAATAGGGAAAAGAAAGAGGGAGCACATTTGAGCAGATGGAAACCTTATACACAAAGCCTCTGGACTCAGGAAGGTGTTTGACATATGGTACAAAGCATCTTATTTGATTTTCCCAAGATGCCAATTCTGAGATAGGAAGTGAAAAATGGTAAAGGAAACACCACAATGCTTTGGCAAGCCAAGGAAAGTAAGGCAGCCTGTAAGACTGTGTGGTCAAGCCTGCTGCCATGGTGGGCAGTTGGAGCTTAATTCTGCTTGGGACATTCTGGAAGCCAAGGTAGAAAAAACACTAGAGAGTTATCTCATCCTAAGGATGCAGAAATTGTGGCATTTATACACTTGAGCCTATAAATGCTATCATCATTCATTGATTGAGGGCTGTTTCTAGTGTGGGCAGAAAAGCAGGCAAGGACTTGCAAGCAAAGAAGTAGAGGGGCTGGAGGTCAGAAGTCAGTAATGGTCACTCAGGTGATGGGGCCCAGTGGTAGGACGGCACTGATAGCACCTGTTTGTACTATCCAGTGCTCAATCACCTGCTATCTTAGATTCTTGTCATTTTCATTATTTTCTACCTTGGGACCATGTACAAAATAGCACTATCCCTAGCTCAGAAGTGAATCTTGAGTGATCTCAGCCAACCACATAAGTCACATACCTGTCATTGCCAGAGATTGGCTGAGGGGTGCATCCAGTGTTTTACCAGTAAAACACTAGGATTTTTCTTGGAAAGTCCCTAGCCTATAGAACCACAAGAAGGGGGAGTTCTCCTCGGTCTGTGGTTTCTGGAACCACTGTAGCCATCTTGAAGCAAGGTTGAGGGTGAGAACAACCCTCAAGGGAGGTCAGAGCTAAAAGACATGGAGGCATGGGTCTCACCTCCTGCAGTCTACCTGTAGACTCTGTAGTATGGGAGAATGTTAAAGGCATTTGGGATGTGGTTTTTCCATTCCTTGAGCTAGACACATCACAATCTGTATACCAAATATGAGGAGCTAAAACAAGACTGGGATGGACGGAATGGGGTAAACAAAAGGAAACTGAGCTTTCTACTTAACTTTCTTAATCTCTCAAGATGAGGAATATGTAGAGTGAGTACTGAAGGTGAGGTTAAAAATAGTTAAGAAAACTGAGAGTCAGAATGAGTCAGTGTCTTAACAAGCCAAGAGCAAAAGTCAGGAGCTTTTGATTCTTAATTCAAAGCAAATGAGCAGTGAGCTAGACTTGACACCTCCAGGTGACATGCTGGATATCTTTTTTTTTTTTTTGGCAACACTGGAGTTTTAACTTGGGATGTTGCACTTGCTAGGCACTTGCTCTATCATTGGAGCCACACCTCCATTCCTTTTTGCTTACTCAAGTTATTTTTCAGATAGGGTCTCAGTTTTGCTCAGGGCTAGCCTCAGACCACAATTCCCCTATCTCTACCACCCACGTAGCTTGGATTATAGAAGTAAGTATACCACCATGCCCAGCCCTAGACACCTTTCATATTCCTTGGTAACCACCTTCTCATTTTGTTGGCTATGTGATTGTTGGGACTGGCCTTTCCCACACTTTAGTGTTTGGCACTAATTGAAGATCCCATTCCCATTTTTTATGGCTACAGTGATTGGTTCAGAGAAGGACATGTAACATTTTTACCATGATAAATTTCACTCATTCATTTGATCAATCTTTTCAATAAGCGTTTACCAGGTTCCCTGGACATACCAAGTACTGCACTAGGTGCTAGAGACACAAAGATGAAAAAGATGGAGGCCCTGCCCCAGAGGAGTTTATGATGAATTGGGAAAGACAGCTCTGTAAATGAATAATCAAAGGGCACACTAGTAAGCACTAGAATAGAAATGTGTTCAGGGAGCAACAGGGGAAAGTCTTACCTCTACCTAGCAGGAACCAAGGAGTTCCCACAAGATCAATGAGTCTGTATTTGAATCTTGAAGCATGAATAGGAATTCACCAGTAGAGAAAAGAAATAGGCCTCTAGACAAAATGACTGACACATACAAAGTACAGGGGCATAAGGGGAATGACAGAGAACTCTTAAGTTACCCAACTTAGCTGGAAGGTCAAGTGAGGTTGAGAAGAGGATGAAGGTTGCTACACAGGAAAGGAGCCACCTCACGAGGCTTTATTGTTGGCGGTGGTAGGACTGGAATTTGAACTCAGGGCTTCGTGATTGCAAAGCAGGTGCTGTACCACTTGAGCTGCACCTCTAGCCAAAGACCATGACGCTTTGAAGTGCTTTTCTTGAAAATTTGGAGAGTT